CTTCTTAGTGGTGGTTCTAGCCCAGGGGTCGGCAGCCTGCGGCTCCGGAGCCGCGTGCTGTGGCTCTGTCAGGACTGCTGTTTCGCGACAGTCATTTATTACAGAGTACCCGTGCTTCTGGTGCTATTGATGCACTTGGGCTACGCCCATCCCCAAACCTTTATAAACAGTTTGCCTTTAGAGGCTGACTCCTTTGCCCGCTGTTTTATTTTATTTCTAACTACGTCACTTTACCGAAAGAGCCAAAGAGTATGACCATCACCTTCTCGTATTCACCACAGTGCACTGCGACTCTTGAAATTTTCAGTTGTACCGAATTCTACAAAAAATGTCTCTCCTTGTTATTTTGGCTGCCGAGCCCCGCACTGGAGGAAGCTCTTGAGATGCCCCTAGAGAGTGTTTGGCCTGCTCTTCCACGCCGGCCAGAAGCCTTTGAAGAGGTGGGAGTAACCACGCTTCACCCCACCGCACACAGCCTGCCGATCGACTAACCTTGGGGTAGACATTTACATTGCTGGGTGCGAGGATGTATATGAAACCTGCTCATTGTTTCAGCTACCACGCCGGGAGATAGAATATAACCCTAACTCAGGATTCAAATTCAAGAAAGTTAACCATCACACCACGACAGCATCCTGAAATAAACAAATAACGGTTTGTACAATCCTTGATTCAGATGACATTGAACAATAATGCCTTATTATTTAAAAACCCATATATGGCATTATGTACTGGATAGCAATAACAAACACTAATCTGTATTCTTGAATCTTTCGGTAAATTCACGTAGATAGATTCGAAGAAAATAACAACCTATCCACTTGACTTTACCGAAAGACCCAAGAATATGAATTTCTGCAGTCGCGACAGCTTTAAGTCAAGATTAAACACTAATCCGCTAAAGCATACGGCGGTATATCAGCTCAGCAGGAGGCCCAGGGTGTCTAATTGTTGACTGTGGGTGTGTTCACCACCTTGCGCGACGTGCATCACTCCCTAAGCAGCCCCGGGGCTTTGAGCGGATCGACTGTCCATGCAGGTGCAACGGCTTAAAACTTGTTGCTGATGCCAGACCGCGTGACGGCTGTGAAAAGAACAAAGTGAGAGGAAGATACAAACATCTTCAATAGAGGCATCGCCGGGGATTAATTTCAGCCGGGTCTCTCTGGGGTGGCGGCTCAGACAATATATCCGCACCCGGCACACCACGTCATGGATGCGTCTCGCATGGCTGTGGCTGCTACTAGTCACGCGCATCGCAATACCAGAGATCCAAAACATGTTCAGTGATTAATGAAGCCCCGTTGATCTCCATTGTTCCACATCGCTTAGATCCACCAACCTCTGTCCTCCCAGGAGTGTGAATAATGGGCACAGCGTGCGGTGTGGCCACTCCCACTCTGCCGAGTTATGTGACCAGCTTGGCAGAGTAAGCTACCGCGAGAGCGGCTCTCTCGAGCTCCGTCTAGGGGAGAGTCTGTGCTCCACCAGCAGTGGCGTCGGCAGGCACTTGCAGGGCTGCACCTTCGTCCATGTACAGGGTGGCCCAAAAGTCAGGACACATAGGGTTATTTCATTCATTTTAATAAATGTTAAAAGTGACTGCCATTAACAATTATGTTACGCAGGAATTCTCTTTTAAAATTTAGGATTTTTTTAAAATATTATCGCTCGTCTTCTGTAGCATATATCCTTAAATGTCATCTGAAAAGCAGGAATATAAATATATATAAGCATCAATAATGACAAGAGATAAATATACACTTAAAAATAATTAACAATGAAAAGTTTTAACAACGGTGTTAAAATTAAATAAATTAAATAACCCGATGTGCGTCATGACATTCGGCCCACCCTGTGCGCAGCACAGCCGCCGTGAAAGCTACCAGCAAATCAGTGCTCAGAGCTATTGCGGGACTGCGCCTTTGCCTGTCCTCGTCCAGTGCCGTGCGTGGGAACCTCTCGGCGTGCGCGTCCCCCCCCCCCCCGCCTGTGGCGTTCCGGCCACGCGTGTGGCCGCTGTGGCTCCGCGGGGTTGTTGCGCGTGCCACGTGCGCCCGGGTGCGCCCGCTCGCCTTAGCCTGTCCCGTGGGCTGCCGGTAGTGAATGCGCTTCAGTGGCTTCTAGGTGCGGCCCGCTCGCACAGGTTATTATTATTATACTGGTAGGAACGAAGTTGTAAGCTGAGTGTACCAGCCTGCAATAGATCAATGTGTCCGTCCGTCCGTCCCCTTTCAATACTTTAACGAAGTGAAATCTCGTGCTGTTGGGGTGTAAAATCAGCAATAGACAGCGCAGAGACTTGTCCTACCAGCCCACCCTGCAGGGACCTGTTTGTCGTCGTCGATGCTGAGACGCGGCTCTCATTGCTAATGGTGCGGCTCCTTTGTTGCGATGCTGGAACAACTGCTCTACGTAAAGGTTACCGCACTGCGGTTTCATTTATGCTGTCGCACTGTTCTATCAAATTGGACGTTACAACAGTATTAGTTTTAATATAAGTACTGTACTAATAATAATTAAGAATAATTATAATAAGTATAATTTGCAGATAACTGATCAGTAAAAACTGTGAATTGATAATTTGACGAAAAAACGTTTAAGTCCTCCACGTAGGAGATGGAGCGATTACATTATCTCAGCGCTGGTGCTTACAGGATCATTATTACATCGCGGTACTACGAGAGATGGTGACAGCTTTGTGGAGGCCTTCATCCAGCAGTGGATGGATCATGGCTTCCGACAATTAGCATTTAAGACACTTTTGCAGATTTACTCTACAAAAGATGTATTTCAAAGGATGGTACTTTGATTAAAAATAAAAAGTAATCATCATCACCAGATTGACTGTGAACAAAAGTCAGTGGGCCTGGACGGAACGCGCCACTGAAACTAAACTTTCCGTTTGACCAGGTAAGGCCCACTGAACTACTACATAGCTATTGTTCAGAAGTGACCTGGCCACAAATGAGAGCTCAACGACGTGGCATATTATATGGAAATTTAGAGCAGCCAAATACTCTGAACGTGTGATGTTGATTCTAAATGTGGAGGGAAAAACCGGACGGCCACAGCGAGAATATGCAAACTCCAAATATACAGGCCTCAGGGTTGGAATCGAACCCACGACCTCCTGCATACCAGGCGAGGTAATCAACATCCCGCCGGTGGTCCAGAAGAACGATGGAGTGGCAGCTAAAGGAAGGAACGTGTGGTAGCGAGATAAATCTAATATTAAAACATGCTAGTGTTTTAATATTAGCTAGATAAAGCTAATATTAAAACATGTTAGTGTTTTAATATTAGCTAGATAAAGCTAATATTAAAACATGCTAGTGTTTTAATATTAGCTAGATAAATCTAATATTAAAACATGCTAGTTTTTAATATTAGCGAGATAATGCTAATATTAAAACATGTTAGTGTTTTAATATTAGCTAAATAAATCTAATATTAAAACATGCTAGTGTTTTAATATTAGCTAGATAAAGCTAATATTAAAACATGCTAGTGTTTTAATATTAGCTAGATAAAGCTAATATTAAAACATGCTAGTGTTTTAATATTAGCTAGCTAAAGCTAATATTAAAACATGCTAGTGTTTTAATATTAGCTAGATAAAGCTAATATTGAAATATGTTAATGTTTTAATATTAGCTAAATAAAGCTAATATTAAAACATGTTAGTGTTTTAATATTAGCTATATAAAGCTAATATTGAAATATGTTAGTGTTTTAATATTAGCTAAATAAAGCTAATATTAAAACATGTTAGTGTTGCTAGTGTGTTTTAATATTAGCTAGATAAAGCTAATATTGAAATATGTTAATGCTTAATATTAGCTAAATAAAGCTAATATTAAAACATGTTAGTGTTTTAATATTAGCTAGATAAAGCTAATATTGAAATATGTTAATGCTTAATATTAGCTAAATAAAGCTAATATTAAAACATGTTAGTGTTTTAATATTAGCTAAATAAAGCTAATATTAATACATGTTAGTGTTTTAATATTAGCTAAGTAAAGCTAATATTAAAACATGTTAGTGTTTTATATTAGCTAGATAAAGCTAATATTAATACATGTTAGTGTTTTAGCATGTTAGTGTTTTAATATTAGCTAGATAAAGCTAATATTAAAACACATGAGTGACACGTGAGTGTTTTAATATTAGCTAGATAAAGCTAATATTAAGACACGTGAGTGTTTCCCCTCCTGAATTGGTCCTACTAATTATGAGAATAGATAACATCTGCCTTTCATAACATCTCAAGGTGCTTTACAGCAATGACAATGGGATTGCTTTAGGTAGGAAGTGGCTCACCATAGCCACCAGTGGGCCCCGCTCCAGCAGTGAGGAATTACACAACGCCTATGGGCTGGGACCAATCTCAACATTGGACTACCACTGGTGACTTTCCACAAAGTGGTACTATTCATTTGACTAACGCCAACGGGATTGACGGGTTGAGTTGAGAGCCCAGATCGGGAATTGAACTCGCCACTTTTCAAGTGTAACTTGAGGACTCTGCCACAGTGCTCGTAGTCTATGTTCCAAGCAGCTCAGCTGCATTGACAGCCCTGAAACAGATTAGGGAAATCCCATGGGGCCTGTCTCATCCCATACTATGTTCGATAATTGAAACATTCAGCAGATATAAAAAGTCAAAGTGGTTTCTGTTTTGAAGAGAAGATGGGACTGTGCTCATTTCCTATGGAAAGCCCGAAGCTAATCGGCAGATCTGACGCACCGTGGATCTCCTTTGTCGACTCGCCGGGTACCTGGCTCCTCGAGAAGTTCCGTGTAACAAATAAACAGCGAGTTGAGTGTCGAGATCACGGACGATGGTCACGATACGCCGTGCCGTGATCGTCGTCATCCTTTGGCGACGATCGACCGCCTGTTAACGCGGCCGGGGGATCGAGACAACTTCTTTACTCAACTTCGAAATTCCGCTCCCCCTTCTTGCCCCCCCCCCTCCCCTCCTCCCTCCTCAGCGATGGCGCTGGCAGCGAAGGAGCGAGCGGTGCTGCTGGCACTGTGCTGGCTCGTGGTGCTGCAGCGTGGGGGCGGCGCGCGTGCCTCCTCCTCCTCCTCCTCGTCGTCGTCGCGCCCCTCCGAGCAGGAGACTCGCACCAAGCCCGCGTGGAAGGACGGCGACCTGAACCTGGGTGGGCTCTTCCCCATCCACTTCGGCGTGCTGAGCCGCGCCGACAGCCTCACGGTGCGACCCGAGGCCGTGGAGTGCGTCCGGTGAGTCCCCTTCGACTCCCCCCCCCCCCCGCCCCGTTGTGGTCTTCGGAAGCTTCATCATCGATGCCACCATTGCCGTCACCGGCGTCATCATCTCAAAGTCATGGTCTTCGTTAGCAGGGTTGAGCCCGGCTTATTTTTGGATGGGCGACTGCTGTGCATAACAGGTATTATAGGCAGCGTGCGGGCCTACCTAGCAGAGGGCGGTGCAGTTAAATCCGTAATTGTAGTGTGGTCAAATAATCCCCGCGATGACCAGCACAGCATGGGGAGGCTGTCATCCAGCATTGGATTGACAAAAAGATATGCATACACTCGAAGGCCTGATTTGCCACTTGATATTATCAGGAAGGCTGCTACAGTGGCTCAGAGTAGGGATTATCAGCATAAGGAACTACCACGAGAGTGGACGTATTCATGACAAATTCTATTTCCATGCACCCTAAATTCCTCACGCACAGCATTAGAACAAATTCCTATGAGCAGCTTTCGGACAAACTAAGGTGAGATGGATGTGGAGTGTGCCAAAATAATTCCTGTAACAATGTACAGTGTTCTGGACTATTCTGGCTGAAATTAAGCACTGGGTGTGCATGTACAAGTGAAAAAGGATATATTACAACAGATATGTACTTATTCAAGGGGTACACACTTAATAAACACACACTGCACATCTATTAATTTCATCGGTACATAATTGAGTTGTATAATTTTCACCTTACTACAGCGGTTGAGTTGTTTAAAAGTGTTTACACTCAGCATGGTCTCGTAACGATAAGTAAATAGCTGTAATTGAGTATTGATGGAACGATTCAAGCCTTTATTAAACAACTTCTGGAGTAACAGCAATCGCTACCTTTCAGTAACCACAACCACCATCTTTTTCTACTAATCTGTATCTACTATCTCCCCTTGCAATACGAACACCGCCGCCACCAACTCCACTACCACCACCATCACCTCGGTCGGGTCGCAGGTTCAATTTCCGCGGCCTGCGCTGGATGCTCGCCATGGCCTTCGCCGTCGAAGAGATCAACGCTGACAACTTGCTGCTGCCGGGCCTCAGGCTGGGCTACAAGATGGCCGACACGTGCAACACGGTGTCGAAGGCGCTGGAGGCGACGCTGGGCTTCGTGGCGCGCAACAAGCTGGGAGCCCTGGGCATGGGCGGCGTCTGCAACTGCACGCCGGCGCCGCGCGCCAACACCGTGTCCGTGGTGGGTGCCACCAGCTCCGGGGTCTCCACCGCCGTGGCCAACCTCCTGAGCCTCTTCCGCATCCCGCAGGTTGGTGGCCATGGTTGCCCCCCCTCCCCCTTTCGTTTGAGGTTGCCTCTCCGTTCTTAATCTGGCGCGATGCATCTTCAGGAGGTGAATGTATCCGTGCATATGTACACTGAACTTTTTTCGCACTGTACTTAGCCGACCGTGCAAATCGGAGGTGCCAGGGAAGGATGACAAACTAAACACAGCAACAAAAAACGTCGCAGGTATCGCGATTGCTTGCTCACGCCATTGCTGGCCGAAGGGCCTCCACTCAAGGGAGGTCTGTTGAGGGAATCTTTGGCCAGACATGGTACCCGTTTATACAGATGGGTAGACCAGAGGTGAGGTGATTCAAGAAACTATCCATTGTTTCAACTTCCGTGCTGCGAGAGTGAACCGGTGACTGACAGATTACCGACCGAGTGAGTGTGGATAACTAAAGGTTGGTGGGTCTGATGGAGGGATGGGCTACCATGTAATTGTGTGATCTGGCTGAGCTTACAGTTGTCGAGTGTTGAGCCCCAAAATATATACACTTCCCCACCTTGATTTGCATCTTTAAAAAACTGTTGTGAAGTTGCAGAGATCGGAGGGGGGGTGATGATTAGGGGGTGGAGGGGGCCTTCAGGAAATATTCCATGAGCAATTAAGCCCCGGGTTTTCCGCGTGTGGCCGCCACGGTGGCCAATGCTACCTGCATGCGCCCGTACGCTCCCTGTACATGTGTACACACGCTGAACTTGTTTCGCAGCGAACGTAGCCAGCCGTGCTCGCAACGAGACGGCTGCGCCACGCGTAGCCAGCTGTCTCTGGCGTAGACGGCGCCCTGAAAGCGGAATCGTCACGCCGTGCGTGTGCCCGCCGGCAGGTGAGCTACGCGTCGTCGAGCCGCGTGCTCAGCAACAAGCAGCAGTACCGCTCGTTCATGCGCACCATCCTGAGCGACGAGCAGCAAGCAACGGCGCTCGCCGAGTTGGTGCGCGAGTTCGGCTGGACCTGGGTGGGCCTCATCGCGTCGGACGACGACTACGGGCGGCCGGGCATCGAGCGCTTCCGCGAGGAGACGCTGGAGGACGAGGACGACTGGCCCGGGCGGCGGCGCGGCTACGGCAATGATGACGACAACGAGGAGGAGGTGATCTGCGTTGAATTCTCTGAGACAGTGTCGCTCTACGACCCGCCAGAGCGGATCCACGAGCTGGCCGACATGATCGCGAATGCGACGGCACGGGTCATCGTCGTGTTTGCCAGCGGCACCGACCTGGACCCGCTGATGCGCGAGGTGGCACGGCGCAACCTAACGGGGCGCACTTGGATCGGCAGCGAGGCCTGGGTGAGCTCCTCGCTCATCGCCCGCCCCGAGATCTTCCACGTGGTGAGTTCACAATCGCAATCAGAATATTTATTTATACTGCAGGAGGAGGAATCCGATGAGCTGCCCTAAAGCTCTTTTTCACAGATGTCCAGTAGGGGCACGGCGTCAGAACGTCGCAACAACGAGTTCGTGGCGAGGTCTCTCGGTGAGTTCGTCACTTCGTGCGTGCGTCCACCGTGCACTTTGCTCTGCTGCCCGTCATGGGAATGTAGAGCTTCATCGCTTGATCTTCGCCAGCAGTAGAGATGAGCACCGCCAATCACGTGATTGGAGCGTGGAGACAGTTTAACGTTTTTCAACATTTTTTTTGCAAATGTAAACTTTGTTTTGGCATTTATGCCACGCTTATATTTCTAACTGAAGCATTTCTCGGTCACTGGCACACCGTAGTAGGCACATGGCTAGTTGCAGACATGTTTTCCTGGTGATGCACTGCTCACTGTGAGAGTTGCGCGTGGAAATGTCCGAGTCCCATGATGTGAAACTGAAGGCATGAACTTATTCAACTGGAATTGGAAAGATAAGCGGTACAAATGTATCCATGGAGAAGAATAAGCTGCAGTTCCTTCACTTTCGAACGTGCGCAGGCAACGTCAGTGCCACGAGGCGACAAAATACATGAATACTCAACATTAAATCATTTCCTTACTAACACGGCATTGACTAGAGGCATAGACACGTGTTCTCTCTTTGTATTATGGCCTGAGTAACCATGGGTCTTGGGGGGGGGGCGAACATGGGGTTTCAATGCGGGGGGCCTGTCATTGCAAAAAGGGTTGAGTGGCACCGGTCGAATTGATGGTGAACGTTGTTACCGTGCTGGCTATTTCTAATAACTATATATTTTTATTTACCAGGTAAAGCCCACTGAGCTATATAGATATTTTTCAGAAATGACCTGGCCACAAATGATAGTTCAGCGAAGTGGCTTATCACATGGAAATGTATCGCAGCCAAATACTCTAAACGCGCGATGTTCATTCTAATTCTGGAGGCAAAAACCGGAGGACCCGGAGAAAAATCCACGCGTCCACGGTGAGAACACACAAACTCCGAATATACAGCCGTCAGGGTTGGGATCAAACCCACGACCTCCTGCATAGCAGGTGAGGTAGTTAACATCTCGCCACTGCAGGTGGGCAGCACGCTGGGCTTCGTGCAGAGGCCAGGGCACATCCCGGGCTTCCGCGAGTACCTGCAGAAGGTGCACCCTCAGCGCCACCCGAACAACGTGTTCGTGCGGCAGCTGTGGGAGGCCACCTTCAACTGCACGCTGAAGGCCGAGGCGGCGTCGAGCGACAACTGCACCCAGTCGGGGAACCCCGTCCGCCACGGCGCCAACGAGGACGACGGCTCGTCCGAGAAATGCCCGGAAGGTTCGAGAAACGTTAAAAAAAAGATTTACCTTTTCCCATTCCGATGACGTACATGTGCATCCGGAAGAAAACTTAGGTAAAAAATTACTTTATCTGTACAGAGGCTCCCACAAGGCCATGCGGGAGGGCACGTGAGACAGTTTGGCGCCAGCTATTTTAGAGTGCGGCGGTCATGTCGCTACAGTTCTCTGCGGTGAGTAACAACGTCTTTAAAAACGACGGTACTACGCCTCTCTAAGTAAAATGAACACCGAGCCACTTGCGCATTCCGAGAATGAGAAGTGAATGTGGACACCCGCCCTGCAACTTGCAGACGTCTCAGAATGGGCAATTCAGAGCCATGAGCAGGGTGAGGTCGTCAACTCTGGCCGCTTGAGAATCTCATTTAATTGTGGGCGCCTGCCCAGATTGGAAGCCAGCATGTCAACGTCGCCAACTCAGCGCGGAGACTTCTGAGCCACCCGGAGCCACCTCGGCAATTTTGCTTGTAGCACAGGTTGGGAAAAGTGGCGCGTAAGCGTGGTTTAGGTACAACGCTTTCTAACGTGAACATTTGTACTCGGAAGTAATTCATCTTAGCGTGTGGGGCTGAAATTGCAAATTCGAGTTCGTCGGTGTTTTCGAATGAGGTGAAGTAGAGCAGGATCAATAGTCACAACCCGGTCGCTATCGATCGCGCCAAACACAAAAAAACCTTCACGGTATGTAATTGGGATTTTAACTTAACGTGACAAATTGTAGCTTTTGAGGGCTAAGGCTACCCCTGAATTAAATCATCAAGACACCCACACATCAGCTCTCACTGCGATGCAACGGAGGATTCAATTGCCATTTACTGAACTTGGTTCTTCATTACGTTACATGAAGCTCACAGCAATTTCCATTAAAAACAAGTTAGTTTGCGATTAAAATGCTTGATAGCGGTAATTAAAATAGCGAGCAGCATAGGAACAAAAAAACTAAGTTTTTTGTAAATGTTAATGCCTTTTTGTACGCGCTTAACATTTGCAAAATCTAATATATTTTTTATGGGATTAATGAATGTAATTTAAACAAAAATCACGCACACTGATAAGTGTGATGTGTAATAACTTAACAAAAGTAATTATTTAAAAATTGACATTTATATATATCCCAATTGTGCCCTTGGCACCATGCAGCGAGACGTGTCCTGCAGGAGGCCTGCTCCACTCAGCGCGAGCGGTGAAACGGTCATGTGCACGATACGCTGTCGGGAGGTTGCGGCTTAACATCACTGCGCAAACTGCTCCTGTCCGAGACGACGTTGCTGCAATGTTACTGAACGCAAGGCACCGCACGCCATTTAAACTTAATGCTCAATTCGCGGAACTGTATGGCGACGCCTCATCAAGGGCAAGACCACATTGAATGTGCTGTGTTTAGAGCTGGAAGGATGCAAGTATTATGCACCGTACGTAGCCAACCGTGCTAATCAGAGATGTGGGGGAAGGACAACAAACTAAACACAAAAGGCAGTTGCAAAGAAATACGTTTTCTCTTTAGATTTAAACGTGCATAGCTCCAGTGGCTTCCTAATATCGGAATTAAGTAGATTAATGAACTAAATTTAGTCATTGGATATTTCATTTTTGTGGTCGATTATCCGGGCCCCCTTTAAAAATGGCCTCCCGAAGGCGGGAAACCCCACAAGCCACGGCCAGCGTGATGTGGCTGATGATGCTCATCATCACCTCCCGTCCAGCGGCACATGTGAGAACAGAGGTGAGACTGTTTTTTCCCCAACTATTTTGATGCCATCTGATTAGTCGAGTAATCTAACCCATAATTCGTAGAGGGATCGATTACTTGAATAATTGGCCGGCCCAACTGTCGTTGAGTTTATTGTTGCTGTAATCAACAATTGTACTTGAGGAGCCAACACATTCACTGGTGACTCAAACCTAGCACCTCAGCAGTGTCAGCTCAGGCGCTTCCACTGACACGGGTAGTCGGAGGCCGCCGAGCCAGAGGCACAGCAGGCGGTGAAGCTGCACCAGAGCCGGTGGGCAGCAGGGGCCCGGATGCTGGACAACGCAGAGTGGGGGGCACTCAGACAGGGGGCTAATATCATGCGCTACTACACCGGGGATAATGACGGCCATGCGATGCTACTGTCTTGAGCCATCTAAGTAAGCAATGACAGTGAAACCCTTCATGTTGGAGAATGGCCTACCGAAGCGGATATCAAAGAGCTACCACTGAGATCCCTTCAACTGACCTCTGGTTGACACGAGACAGGGCAGAACTGTTTCACCCGCTCTGCATATGACAGACATATTATTGGCAAGACATTCCAATCGATATTCTTTTTTTTATTCTCTGGCTGAGACCATTGACTCACCACACTTGAGAACCCGGTTTAATCACAGGCCTGTATTTGGACCCGGGATCTCAGCGGCCACCACCAACAGCTTAGCGCTCTGACCCTCACGTCAGCAGTGTTTCTCGATGCCGTCTTCACCGTCGCCAGGTGTGAAAGGCGCAGCCAACGCCCCGCGGCCCTTCTGCACCGGCCGTGAGAACATCAGCGCGGTGAAGACGCCGTTCCTGGACTACACGGACCTGCGCATCACCTACAACGTCTACCTGGCCGTGTACGCCATCGCGCACGCGCTGCACGACATGCTCTTCGGCTGCCGCGAGGGCGCTGGCCTCTTCGAGGGCGGCAAGTGCACCAACATCCAGCAGCTGGAGCCATGGCAGGTGTGCGCACAGCCAGGGCCACGGGGACACGCGGCGTCGGGAGTAGCGGTGGTGGTGATGACGGCGGTGGTGGTGGCGGTGGTGGTGATGACGGTGGTGGTGATGACGGCGGTGGTGGTGATGACGGCGGTGGTGGTGGTGATGACGGTGGTGGTGATGACGGCGGTGGTGGTGATGACGGCGGTGGTGGTGATGACGGCGGTGGTGGTGGTGATGACGGTGGTGGTGATGACGGCGGTGGTGGTGATGACGGCGGTGGTGCTGGCGGCGGTGGTGGTGATGACGGCGGTGGTGGTGGTGATGACGGCGGTGGTGGTGATGACGACGGTGGTGGTGGCGGCGGCGGCGTTGTGGAGCGGTTGTGGAGCGGTTGTGGTAGCGGTTGGCGCGCTGCGCTGCGGAGCTGATGGCCCAGGTTCCATTCCTGCTCACGGCCACAACACCGGTGATGATTATCTGGACCGGTCCTGGGCCTCCCCTAGGTCGACTCGGCCTCAAATGAGTACCTGGTGCGGTGTGTAAACATCGCCACTGGGGATACAAAGGCGTCCGGGCGTGGTGCTGGCCACCCACTCCCTCGTGTACCGTGCCAGCCTTCATAGGTGCTCACTAACAGCACTTGCCCCAACAGACTGTTAAGGCTATATGGGGGATCTTTGTCTTTGTGGTGGTGTTGGGAGTGGTGGCACAGCAGCTAGTGCGCACTGCGCTACGAAGTCGGCGGCTCGAGTTCCATTCCCACTCACGGCCACCAACTTCGGTGACGATTTTCTGAACCCGTCCTGGGCCTCCCCTAGGTCGACTCGACCTCAAATGAGTACCTGGTGCGGTGTGTAAACATCGCCACTGGGGATACAAAGGCGGCCGGGTGTGGTGCTGGCCACCCACCCCTTCGTGTGCCGTGCGAGCCTTCATAGCTGCTACTCGCTAACAGCACTTGCTCAAGGCAGCGGTGTTTGACGAACATGTTGACGATTTGGTTAATTGTGCTGCTTGTGCACCACTGACTAGACAGCAGGCTCGCCAAGTAGTTTGTTTAACAGCGATGGTCACCATGAGTTTTTGTTTCGCCGCGCTCCTACGCACCGGAGCGTCTCAGAGCACTTTGCCAGGGCACCCCCAGTGGCAGCCAACCCCTGTGGGCACACGGTCGGTCACCTTCGTGGACACCCCGTACGTAACGAATCGCGATCTCCCTACGACGCAGCTCCTGCGCTACCTGCAAGTGGTGCGATTCCGAAACAACAAGGGCGAGGAGGTGCAGTTTGACGAGAAGGGCGACCCCAGGGGTGGGTACAGCCTCGTCAACTGGCAGCAGTCGCCCAAGGACGGCTCCGTGCAGCTGGTGGAGGTGGGCAGCTATGATGGGCGCAAGCCCTCGGGCCAGCGCCTCGTGGTGGACAAGTCGCGCATCGTGTGGCACAACCACAAGAACGCGGTGAGGACGCCGTGTCTCCCCTGGGGGGGCTGGTGGTGGCTGTGGGTGGTGGTGGTGGCTATGGGTGTGACTGGTGATGGCAATGAGTGTGGCTGGTGATGGCTATGGGTGTGGTTGGTGATGGCTGTGGGTGTGGCTGGTGGTGGCTGTGGGTGGTGGTGGTGGTGGCTGTGGGTGTGGCTGGTGGTGGCTGTGGGTGTGGCTGGTGGTGGCTGTGGGTGGTGGTGGCTGTGGGTGTGGGTGGTGGTGGCTGTGGGTGTGGGTGGTGGTGGCTCTGGGTGTGGCTGGTGGTGGCTGTGGGTGTGGCTGGTGGTGGCTGTGGGTGGTGGTGGCTGTGGGTGTGGTTGGTGGTGGCTGTGGGTGTGGCTGGTGGTGGCTGTGGCTGGTGATGGCTGTGGGTGTGGTTGGTGATGGCTGTGGGTGTGGTTGGTAATGGCTGTGGGTGTGGTTGGTGATGGCAATGAGTGTGGTTGGTGATGGATCTGAGTGAGGCTGGTGATGGCTGTGGGTGTGGCTGGTGATGGCTATGGGAGTGGCTGGTGATGGCTATGGGTGTGGCTGGTGATGGCTATGGGTTTGCCTGGTGATGGCTGTGGGTGTGGCTGGTGATGGCTATGGGTTTGCCTGGTGATGGCTGTGGGTGTGGCTGGTGATGGTTGTGGGTGTGGCTGGTAATGGCTATGGGTGTGTGGTGATGGCTATGGGTGTGGCTGGTGATGGCTGTGGCTGGTAATGGCTGTGGCTGGTGATGGCTGTGGGTGTGGCTGGTGATGGCTGTGGGAGTGGCTGGTGATGGCTATGGGTGTGGCTGATGATGACTATGGGTGTGGCTGATGATGGCTATGGGTGTGGCTGGTGATGGCTGTGGGAGTGGCTGGTGATGGCTATGGGTGTGATTGGTGATGGCTGTGGCTGGTGATGGCTATGGGAGTGGCTGGTGATGGCTATGGGTGTGGCTTGTGATGGTTGTGGGTGTGGTTGGTGATAGCTCTGGGTGTGGCTGGTGATGGCTGTGGGAGTGGCTGGTGATGGCTATGGTTGTGGCTGGTGATGGCTATGGGTGTGATTGGTGATGGCTGTGGGAGTGGCTGGTGATGGCTATGGTTGTGGCTGGTGATGGCTATGGGAGTGGCTGATGATGACTATGGGTGTGGCTGGTGATGGCTGTGGGAGTGGCTGGTGATGGCTATGGGTGTGATTGGTGATGGCTGTGGGAGTGGCTGGTGATGGCTATGGTTGTGGCTGGTGATGGCTATGGGTGTGGCTGGTGATGGTTGTGGGTGTGGTTGGTGATAGCGGTGGGTGGTGATGGCTGTGGGAAACTCAAACACAATCGTCAATAACACCGTGGCCTTAAAAATGAAAACCATATAATAGGTGACATTTCAGGCAATGGTCATACTTCATCACACTTAAAGAAGGGCATCGTGCATGAAAGGCATGTGTTATGAAGAAGGTCCATTGTCTAAAACGTCACCTATTATATTTTTTTTCATTTAAGGCGACAGTAAGGCCCACTGAGCTATATAGCTCCGTTTCATAAACGAACTTGCCACAAATTATAGGTGAACGAAGTGGCTTATTACGTGGAAATGTATAGCAGCCAAATACACTAAATGCATGTTTATAAATGTGGAGGGGAAAACCGGAGGACCCGGACAGAAATCCACACAACCACGGGGAGCACATGAAAACTCCAAATATACAGCAGCAGGCGTCACGGTTTGGATCGAACCCACGACCTCCTGCATACCGGGCGAGGTAGTTAACATCTCGCCATTGCAGTCGCCCCTTATGATAATATTGCTAAAATAATAACATTGTTTTAAATATTTGTAAAAGCAAGCTGAACGAACTTTCGGTGGGTATGCTTAGCTTCATTAAAATGTCAGCAATTGGCACACGAAACCCGTTTTCTATCTCCAACGTTTGAAATAAAGTTCAACTGTTTGCATTGACAATCTGAACCGATTCACATGCAAATGTGACTCGCATTCACATGCAAATTACAGTCGCCATTTACGTGTTAATCAGTTGATAAGCACAATGTGTTCAAGGCTGCTCGACTGAGGCCTTTTTATAAAGTATCTCTGGGGACTCGAGGCATTTGGAAAAGCAGAATATATTTTAAAGGTTTCCTAACGTGTCACTGGGAATAGCTCATGAACTGGGCAGTTCCATGATTTCGGACCAACACTTCAGCCACTTTAACAATACGGGTAAACGTCAGTCTCATCATGCAGTGGCTTTGTTACTTGACGGCAGTAATTTGTCCACATTTTTTTGATGAGGGAAAAATCCCCAGAAAATACCGCCATGTCAGAAATATGCAAGGCAAATGTACTCTAAAAAAACATTTGGGATGGTGCATTCAGTTTCGTGTTTGCATGTCAATAGCATTGCTGTATTTCATAAATGAGTTATTTTAACACGTAGGGTTTCGTGATAAATTAGTAATGTTTTAAAAAACTATAATAATCTCTAAAACTTACACACCTTGTGTATAATAATAATAATGTTAATTTATAGTTATAAGGCACCCTTAAACAATGGATTTCCGAGTGCCAGCGTTGTAATGGAAGTAAACAAATCAGATTATTAGTCACCGGGGATAGAGCGACTCGAGAGAGAAGGGGACCCGGAGATAGAGAGAGAGAGGGGCCGTGCTGGACAGGTGGTGAGGGCTTCAGCCGGGACTTCAGTCTCCAGGGACTGCGAGTTCCTCACCTCCGAGGGCAGGGAACTCCAGAGCCTGGGCGCCGTGCGGACAAAATCCCGGCAGGGATCACAGAGGAGGATCGGAGCCTGGACCACGGTCACGCCGAGTCGGGCACGCTCGGTGGACCTCGGAGATCTCGGTGGAGCGTGTGGGCCCCATCAACTCCTGGATGTATCGTGGAGCAAGCCCCATTTAATTCCTTAAACACATTTTTATGATTGGGGCGATTTTGAAACGAGTTCACTGTGAGGTTTCCTAATTTTTGTAAATGTCCAGCTGCATTCTCTCATTCATCGCCACCAACAACAGTGTCTTTATTTTTGATCTTTTCACGATTGTTGAGCGTTGGGCCAAAAAACAGCACCGTTGGAAGTATAATAGTATAACAGTACGTGCATTTATTGATTTGAGCAAGGGATACAGTAGAGAGACAAGTGCTGTGATCTGCAGTGTGGTGGTTGAACACAGTAAAGATGTGAGACAAAGCAGTCAGTCTGGTAGACTGACTGCTTACCATGGGTGGATGATTCAGAGTTAAGTTCATCGGAACAGTAGCCCAGATCGTCGCATTAGAAGAGTGGTGATAAGGATGTGACTGACCACTCGTGTGCAAGTGGCTGGGGTGAACCAATGGGTGCTGGATCATCAATCAACTTGCTGTTGAATTCCGTCACGCACAGCGAAGTAGGAACTGGGTGTTCCATACACAGATGTGGTCCATGCCAACACCAGACAGGTCTGGATAAGCGACCAGCCCAATATATGCTCGTGGGTTTGTGAGTGAACACAGCAACCGTGTAGCGTGACCTTGTTTAAAGGCCGGGGGCAGGGAGGAACAGTCTAAAACTCAGGCAGGGCATGGCGGGGTCAATGTTACACCAACTCTAAACAAACGTTAATCGCCAAACAGCGCGAATCACGATACGATCTGCTTGTATCTATCGTGTGCTCTGCTCCAGCTCTCATCCACTCTGTGTACTAGGCAAGGCAACGGAGTTCATCGCTGAATTGACTGTACAAATTTAGAAAGGGGGGGAACTTAACCTACATACACTTCCCTCCACCCCACGCCCCGTTGCCACCCATGCTACTGAGCTGCAATGCGGGCATCTGAAACGTTGTTCCACAGGAACTCAAATTCCGTGTCTGTGTTGTCTTGTGCTTGAAAGATACCCACGTCCGTCTGCACCCAGCCGTGCGCTCCGGGGACGCGCAAGGGCATCCTGGAAGGGGAGCAGGTGTGCTGCTTCGAGTGCATTTCCTGTGCAGAAGGAGAGTACAACAACGAATCCGGTATGCTGCTCTGCGCCAGGGCCCATGCGCCAATAGTTCCTCCTTCGCACGAAGGGTCAACCCCGCAGAGCGGTAGCACAATGGGCAACTGGGGATAATTTGTCGGGCCAATAAAGCTACGGAGTCCGCACCTTCGATTAGCGCGGTTGATTAATAAGAATAATTTTTACCCTTTCTGGCAATGCAACAGGTGTTGAGATGTTCAAACACCAAATAGAATCCTTTAGCAATGAATTAAGTCTGCATGAACAACACGTACTTGTAGTGAACACGCAAACAAACATGCTCTGAAAATATATCCAAGTTACGTAGGTAAATATAAACAAAATAAAATAAATGAGAACAACTAATTTAAATCATGTTTCGGGCACAACACAAGCATCCGTCATCAGGTGGGAAAGCGTGGCCTACTGCATCGGACGCTTGTGCTGCGCCAGAAACGTCGTGATTTAATTTAGTTGTTTTCATTTATTTTATTTTTTACCTACGTGACTTTACCGAAAAAACCAAAGAGTATGAATCCTTGCAGTCACGAAAGCTTCAAATCTAGAATATATCCATTGTCTTTCAAACTGATTGGCCTACTACACCAGAGGGCCTAGTCTCACCAGTGTCAGACCAGAGCATGCCAAAAGGCGAACAGCACAAAGGCAATCATGCCACTATTAGGGCATTTGTATAGCTCAAGATGAGCAGCTACACAATGGGACCTTTTTTTCCAGTATCAAAGTATGAAAAAATAAGAATAGGTTTCACCCTTTCTGGCAGTGGTGAGTGCCTTTTGAATCCAGTGACCTGAATATGCTTCCGAGCCACGGCTAAAACCAGTGGCGCGTAAAATATGAACAGATCCTGGACTGCCGTCCTTCACCAATCCTCACTGGCCAGCGCAGTGAACTGCGATCAAACAACCTCCGTGACCAATACAATGTGAGGAGTCTTCATCCAGCAGTGGAGTGACAAAAGGCTGTATCATTGTAACAATGTTATTTAAACAAATGGCGTTACATTGACTGACAAAGAGACGTTTGTCTCCCCGTAGTTATTTTTGTTCGAAATCATCCTCCGTGCGTTCACTCCAGATGCCAACAGCTGCCTCGGGTGCCCCGAAGATTCCTGGCCGTCGGCGAACCACACGATGTGCGTCCCCAAGCGGGAGGAGTACCTGTCGTGGCGAGAGCCCTTCGGCGTGTGCCTGGCGTTCGTCGGCTGCCTCGGCGCCGTGCTCACACTCAGCGTGGCCGCCGTCTTCGTCAAGCACCGCGGCACGGCCATCGTGAAGGCCACCAACGTCGAGCTCTCCTACCTGCTCTTCTTCTCGCTCTTCTGCTGCTTCCTGAGCTCGCTCTTCTTCATCGGCAAGCCGAGCACGGTCGCCTGCAAGCTGCGCCAGCCCACGTTCGGCATCAGCTTCGTCCTGTGCGTCTCGTGCGTCCTCGTCAAGACCCACCGCGTCCTCCAGGTGTTCGAGTCGCAGATCCCCGGCCGCGGCGGCGTGCGCAAACTGCTGGGCCTCGACCACCAGCTGCTGCTCGTCTTCCTCTTCACGCTCGTGCAAGTCGTCATCTGCGCCGTGTGGCTCTACACGGCGCCGCCCACCTTCGAGGAGGACGACACGTTCAAGAACGACGTCATCTACCTGTCCTGCGACGAGGGCTCGCAACTCGCGCTGGGCTTCGTCATCGGCTACACGTGCCTGCTCGCCGGCGTCTGCTTCCTGTTCGCGTTCCGCGCGCGTAAGCTGCCCGAGAACTTCAACGAGGCCAAGTTCATCACGTTCAGCATGCTGGTGTTCTTCATCGTTTGGCTCTCGTTCATCCCGGCCTACGTGAGCTCGCAGGGCAAGTTCGTGGCCGCCGTCGAGGTGATCGCCATCCTGGTGTCCAGCTTCGGGCTCCTGAGCTGCATCTTCTTCCACAAGTGCTACATCATCCTGCTCAAGCCCGAGCGCAACACGCCCGAGGAGGTGCGCTGCAGCACGGCCGCCCACTCCTTCAAGACGGCGGCGCGCGTCAACCTCCACACGGCGTCGAGCATCGGCAGCGGCGGCAGCGCGGGCAGCATGAACGCCAAGTACGACCACCACCATCACCACCACCATCACCACCCAGTGCGGGCGTCCACGCTCACCGTGCTCAGCGTGGGCGTCGAGAAGGGCCTCAAGAACTCGCAGGAAATGGAGGCCGACGCGGAACCGCTGGCGCGCACCTCGAAGGGCACGCGCCATGCAAACAACTGTAAGGACGGCGGCGAGGTGAACGTCCGTATACCCGGGAAGGAGCTGGCGTCCAGCATGTCTTCGTCCATGCTCACTTAAAGCTCGGGAGGTTAGACACCCACGTAGTGCGGGATTTGAGGACCTGAAGCCTGCTTTTCCCATCCTTTTTGTGGATGATAGAGATCCTTTGACACCATCGGCAGAAGTGATCCTTTGCGGGTTTGGCGTTGTGGTACGTTTGGTTCTACCGGGAGCGTAACGAGTTAATCTCTCACACGTCTTAAAGGGTGCTCTCTCATTCCATGCTACACTGCACTATATACGAAGTATAATATATATACGAGTACGAAAGTGTACTGAAGTGAAATAAATGTAAACTATTTAAATGCGTTTGTTTTTTTTAAACAGTCTGGATAGATTGTTTTTGCATTGTTTTCATTTCACGTGTCGGGAACATCTTTTTGCTGCCTTACAGCAGAAAATAAAATGTCCAAATGTGCTTTGAAAAATAAACAGCATAATATTAAATTGCGTATTAAAGGTTAACACACAAATGCTACCACTCGTGCATTCTATTTAACGAGGGATAATTAACCGCTGGTCAGAGTTTGAGCTGATGGCTCTGCATCGTGGCTGGTAACCGCTTGACCTTGCATCATACCGGGGAGGGAATGAATAAAAATTATTTGTGTTCTTGCTGAGCATCGTCACACTTCAAGCAGCACTTAAATGTCCTGTTGAACGTATTAAATATCTTTCTTTGTCACTCTGAACGCTGTATTATGTCAAGTTGACTGCGTTCCAATTCCAGGAAGAGCTCAGGGCTCTCTCTGAACTGATGTCGTGAGTGGGCCACAGATTTGCAATTCAATTCCTTGAGTACAGTGTGTTTACCTTGAGGCATTTGAGAAAGATTATCACGATACACGCGCCACTGAGAGCCAGGTGCGATGCAAGACTCGAAATGGAGAGCGCATTTTGACCGGAACGGAGCCTCTTTAACAAGTTTGCCATGACGCAGTTTAATAATTTAGGAAAACAGCTGCGATGGAATTTATGAAGTGTATCAGGAACATAATAAATTCTGCATACCTGCTAAGGCGTAAAGTTAAAATAACATTGTGTTTTGTTTATTTAATTGTTGAGGTTAGGCTGTTGTAAACGAGAAACAAAAAGTCATAATAAAAACTGTTTTAAGGACTGCTCATTTTGTAATGTAAGCAAGTACCGTATTTAATTACCGTATTTAACATAAAATAAACTTATCACATATCTCTTCATACTCTGGGGTCCATAAAAAATGATTACGTAGTATAACTTACAATGAACCAACACCCATTTACAGGCAGCGGTTGTAGTAATAATGAAATCTACTCAAAACATCCCCAAGGTAGTTGATCAGAATTCATATTTTGTCGATGAATTATTTTAGAAGTAGACTCTTCTTTAAAAGAAGTGGTGTGAGACATTAATTGTAGGGCTGCCCTTGTATCTGTTACCTTACTCTTAAAAAAAATAAAAAAACTGCTACCTTTGCAAGCACCGATTGACCCTGGGAACATCGCGATCCATTTGGAAGTATAATTTACAGATACGGTCTCTACATGACACTTACCAGAGCCCGATAAAACATTCAGCCCACAGGCGTGCTGGGCGTGCTTTGTTCCTTCAAATCTGTGCTTACAAAACCCCCAGAGTGTGCCTTTTAGATTATTTTACTCTCAGTGGACATCGATGTTTCACACTTAAATGCCCACTGTGGTTTTTGGTCTTTCCCCAAAGCTGTTTTCCTCGAGAATGTGTTTCTGCTCTTAAGTTGGAGACCGGTGGATTTCTTTGTTGTTTTATTCGGTCCTGGTAGCTCTCGAGCGTACAAACTGATCTTCAATTGTTTAAAATGTTTCACTCTAAAACGGTTTTTCATATTAATAACAATTATATTTTTGTTGTCGGTGATTTTAACAGTTGGCCCTCGTTACTGCCAGTCTCGTGGTGTGCACTTTGCAAAGTGCGGTGTTTCTTTCTGCTAATGTTCACATTAAGATGCTGTATATTTAATACCCTAGTGTTAAATGCTAATTGTCAGAATAACCCGTTAATATTTGTTAATAATTAAAGGAATGACTCGTAGCTATCAAAGTGCATGTTAAAATGCAGCGACATTGTACAGTATGTAGCTAATATAACGAATTAGAATCTGTATTCATTATCTGTGTTTTAAAAAAAAGTGATTATGAAGGTTTTGATAATCACGGTAATCGTGTTCATTATGCGTTTAAGCCTGCACATATTGGGCTGAATGTTAATTCTATATAGGTGAGTTTCAACCTAAATACAACTGAATGGAGCATTACACAATAGGGGCAATTGAATTTCAATTCAGTACACTGTTGCGCTTGATATGCGGGCTGTAAAACTTCATACACACAGTGATTCCGATTACGTAGAGCCACTTACTGGATGCAAGTCTGTCGGTTGGCACTAGTCGAGCTATACACTCGGATAACTTCTTAAGCATGCTTTTTCTATAAATGTTTATGTACATGCTGATGTTGTTGTTCTGCCTATACCTTTATAGGCAATTCTGAGAAATGTGTGCTGTTCTCATTAGTAATTGGCTGCCTGCACTGTGTTGGTGTTCCTTGGCCAGGCGATGAATGATCCACTCTAATAAAAACATCAGTGTACAGTGCATCATGTTCGGCCATGTGAAGGCCTATTTATTGATTCTCTTTAATTGGGAGACATCAGTGATACATCGTGCGATTTCAACTGGACATCTGTGAAAATTTGCTTTTTGCTCATCGGATTCCTCCAGTATAAATAAATATTCGGATTCTGATATGAGATCCACAATAAATCTATCATGTGTTGGTAATTATTGTGACGTCACTAATATATTTGTCCTTAACATTTTATTTCCTGGCAAAATGTCTGAAATAAACTCAATGATGAAAGTTGTAAATAAATAGCAATTTTACATTAAATGAGTGCTTTGCAAAATGTTTCCGAGGTAGTTCATGGCATTGGAATTAAATTACGTTATAATATTAAAAGTGTATTCAATTGTTTATTGAATAACTGAGAGCATGTGTCTTTTATAAGCATTGCAAAACGGAGTAATAATTATAAATATTTTCCCATAATAGAGGTCTTTGGGTTAGATCACGTAAATATATAAATGTGTCGTTAAAACCTGCCACCACCCGACACAGCCAACTCGTAAGGGTTACGTTTGGTGAATTGCAATTGAGCAAACTGCAATTATTTGTACTCGAATTATAGCAAAGCACAAAAACAATAAAATAAATATGTGAAAAATAAATTTGATATTGTATCATATTGTGAAAACTGATATTGTGGCAACCCTCGTGTGCAGTGTGTCATGTGAGGCAGCCTGAAGGCTGAGATATGCGATGCATTTGCAGTGCAATTGATGGGATGCGATCCAATCGAAGTCTATTGCATCCTTATCCACACATCATTATTGCAACATGTGGGTATGTATGTGTGTGTATGAATGCATGTACGTGTGTATGCGTGCATGCATGCATGTATTTGTGTTCAGTGACATACATCTGAACCGGTCCTGGGCCTACCCTAGGTCGACTCAGCCTCAAATGGGTACCTGGTGCGAATTTTAAACATCTGCGTTGCAGAAACAAAGGCGGCCGGACGTGGTTCTGACCACCTAACCTTTCATATGCCGTGCTGTTAAAAACACTTGCTCCAATATGTCTGTTAAAGGCTATACTGTGGATATTCGTCTTGTCCTGCATGCTTGTAAGTGTAAGTACACGTGTGTGTATATATAGATGTTATATTTCTCACTCCCACCATCCTTTGTGGCTGTACTGCACTTGATTGCATTGCACTCGGGTCAATGGCATTTCATCTCGGAAAATGGCTCGCAAAGCGATAGGGCTTCTAATCTAGCGCAATCTGATCTCCCACCCATAAATTTAATCGAAACTGCATAGTGTATCTTTCTAGACATTTAAACCACTCTTGCTGTTTAATCCATCCGTGGATGTTGTTGTTGTTCATGGTTCGGGCTGCAAATCCCCAGAGACTGATAAAACTACCGCTATCTGGAAAAACAGTTAAGGAGAACATGCAATTGTATCTTCAGACGCTTTCATGCATGTACCATACCTGTAGAAACAAATGCACCACAACCATTGATAGCACATTATGGCAAATGACAGTATTTTTCTGTACGGCTAATTGCTCATGTTGAAATACTGAGTGCAATACTGTAAGGGGTAGCTGATGTGAGCCAATAAATGTTTTATACAAAGTGCCGTACATTCTAAATTACATCTTATCAATGTCACCGTAGCTTTTCTTCGTTCACATGCTTTTTTTAAATTGAGCAAGACATGCATTATAAATCATGTACATTATTCAAGAAGCCATTTAATAACCGCATTTAATTATTCAAAATTCCCAATTTCAAGACGAGACTGCTCTCTGTGGTTTGCTATACACAATAATGGCGTTTTATATTGTATATAGAGTCTATAGATGAGGATGATGTTGATGATCGTTAACTCTTGGCTATGCTGGCACTTATAGTCATGTTTTCTCATTGCATGTTTGGATCAAGGAAATATATTTAATCCACACAGCACACAAAACTGACTTACAAAAGGACATGTATATTTGAGCGGATAAACCATAAAGTTGAATCAAAACAACTTTTCTATACTGTCATGAAAAGTGTAATCACAACTGTGTTTGTCTTTTAACTCGTAACATTTATATATATGTGTGTATAGGGCAATGCAGCATGATATCAACATATATATAAAAAATACAGTACTGAATTCTACGTGCCGTATATTGTGCCTGATGTATATGTACTATGGTAGACAATAAAATGTTTTAATTCTTTTTCTGTGTTTGCTTCATTTACATTGATATAATCTAAATAAATTGGAACCAGCTGTCAGATACAAATTTGCTGACCGATTCACCAAATGCCCCAATTGTTGAATGATGCTTCAATCAATGTTCTATTCGATAAGGGACTCAAAACTAATTTGAATTAGCCATAAACCTCCTCCAGCTAAACGTGGAGTTGGATCAACCTTGGACCAAGCACATGGCAACTCTGACCCAACGTTGCATGTTCACGGGGCTGTAACTCAGGGTTTCTGCTCTGATGTTGTATTCTCTTCCTTGCTCTACATTGTTTATTGTTTATTTTTGTCGTTTTGGTGACCCGGGTCACTCTTTCAGTGACACGCTCATTCTGGTTCCTCGAGTTATCTCGCACGGTTAAACATCATCAGCTAAACTCGAGTTGGGGTGAAACTATGCCACAGCGATTCGTTCATGAGGCTATCCACAAATACAAGCACAGAGACAATTTCAACCGAGAAGATGGATTCTGGCTTAGCAATCATTGGAAAGATTTGATAAACCATTTCAGGTCTTAATTGATTGTTCACGCTTACAGTGGCTTTCAGACAACATACATTAATTTTTCGTCTCCCCCCTCCACTTTTCAGAACATAGATGGACTAGTCCTTCTAAATAAACTGCCAAATCGCTGCGCGTGGCGCTGACGTTTTTTTTATAAATAAATACACCGCTTAAAAATAAATAAATTAATGCAAACCGACACACCTGATGACGACCGTTTGTGTTATGGTCGAAACGTCGTGAGAATTTGTATTGTTTTATATATTTTTTATTATTTTATTGTTTCCCTTCAACGTGACTTTACCGAAAGAGCTAAGAATATGCCACAGCGGTTTTGTGAACTGCGTTGAGAAACGGTTCCTTGCTATGGTTAACATCACTAAGTTCAAAACATATTTGAGTGAAAAGATATCTTGGACAAATACATGCCAGAGCACAGTAGTTACATGATCATATCCTGTTAATTTCCAGGTAAAATAATTACTATAGGAATATATATAATATATATTTTTAAACAAGATAGAACACATCAATATTGCTGTTTTATCAGTATTGGCGTTGGGATTGTTTGACTATACTTCATCACGCTGGTCAATAAAGATTGGTGGGGGGAAGCGGGTGGTTAAAATATCACTTGCCCCTGATGTTAGCCGCGACTGAAAATCAAACTCAGGTATTCAGGTTCCTCGTACCCTAGAATTGAATGTGCTGCAACAATGTAATCCAATTATTTTATATCAACCATTAAGGGCCGTCCATAAATGACGTCACGCACCTAGGGGGGGGGGGGGAGGTGGGTCAGACATTTGTGACGATGTGTGACGAGGGGGGGAGGGGGGAGTTTCAGAAATGTGACGTCACATCAAAATGCGCAACTTTAAATATAAACAACACGTTCTACTTAAATTTTGATTCAAAGCTTTCGTGACTGCAGGGATTCATATTATTGGTTCTTTCGGTAAAGTCACGTAGAAGGGAAACAATAAAATAATAAAAATATGAAACAATAAAATTCTCACGACGTTTCGACTGCAACACAAGCAATCATCATCAGGTGTTTCCCTTCTACGTGACTTTACCGAAAGAACCAAGAATACGTTCTACTTAATTAAATATAATTGTTATAACAACACTACGGTAATTGTGATTAATTTTCATGAATAACTATTTGATTATTTAAATTTACTAAGGGTCACCTTTTATTTATTCCATGAAGGAGCATTTTGCTTCTCCATGGGAGAATGGAGAATCATAATTTTTTTTAAATGATTGTTATTAAACATTTGATTTGAATAATTCTACCAGGGCTTTTCATTCTGTGGAATGAATATGTGCTTGTTCTAATTGTACTCTCCATTTTGTTTCGTTCTACTACAAAGTTCCAAGTATTTTTTTATAGTTAGAATTACTTTTAATATTTTATAATGATAAGATAATTTCAATATAATATTCTGAACATCTGCAGTATTAGTTAGACGTTGAATATTTTCAAGTCAATTTTATGCTAAATTTCAGCTTTCCAACGTCACCTTTTTAACACGTGTTTCATCCTACAACATCAGAGTGCAGCGCCACATGAAATACGCGCTACAATGACAATAGTTTAAAGTGATTTGAAGCATGTTTTATTTTCAAAATGGAAATATGGTTTTGAAATATGGTTTTGGGGGGGGGGAGACAGAGCTTTGTGACGTCATATTTGAGGGGGTCTGACGTTTGGTGACGCCATGTGACGAGTGGGGGAGGGCCAAAAGTCGACGAAAATCGCGTGACGTCACTTAATCTAATCTGTCTGCTATTGGGTGGAATAATAACTGTTCATGTGTCTAAAAATATAAACCTCTCCAGGAAGGTATTTCGTTTTATAAGGTGGTATCTGCATATCTAATACGGCAAGAACAACTTAAAAAGTGATTATAATGCTTATACCGTTTTATTTCATTAGTTGCATTTGCACGTGCAAATTAATACATCGTAAAACTTGATAATGCTCGTTTAAGCTGTAAAGTTAGCCGAAACCTCTATATCTTCTAGATATTCGTGAATGATACCGCCTTATAAGGAAATATATAATAGGCGACGTTTCGGACGACGGTCCTTCCTCACAGCTAATAGAAGCGGGCGGAACCGAGTGGAAAATAAATCTGCACTTTACACCTTGGAGCCTCATGAGAATTAAAATGTTTTACGTATGTGAATTCTCATTAGTAGCTTTTGAGTAAGAGACAACACCCTCAATTATAACATTTATCGTAATAAAAGGTGCATAGACAACATTCAACAGACTCCAGACAGTCTCGTCCCTTCACCTGATGAAGGCCGCTTGTGTTGTAGCCGAAACGTCGTGAGAATTTTATTGTGTTATTTTATTTTATCAATTTATTATTTTATTCTCATTCTACGTGACTTTACCGAAAGAACCAAAGAAGATGAATCCTTGCAGTCACGAAAGCTTTAAATCGAAATTTGTAGTCGAATTAAAGTGAATTATTATTTTCTAAACGCGAAACGCGCCGTTTGGCGTGCGGCTTCCCGTAGGGCGTCTCCATGGCGACGTCGAAACAACGAGGACAGTCCCCTGCGCGTTCCTTCTTCACCTGTGCTGCTTTCACACAAAGTTATTAAAATAAAATCGCGACAACAACAACAATAATAATGTCCAAAAAGCGAAGTAAGAGCGGCAGCAAAAGCGTTGCGTCGGCGCCCGCTGTCAAGTCGTGGGACGCCGGTCTGTCTGGCGCACCCTTTGATGAGGTAGCTTTTTTTTGCTCTGCGTTTAAAACAACTTTATACAATTACAGTTCTTACAGAGACTTAAAACAATTAAGTCATTCAACTAAGGTATGTGTCCCGCGGTTGTCCGACGCGAGTTCGAAGTTTCGTTCATTATATTATATGACGTAACTTTTTAAGTTACAATCCAGAGGTATCATCGCACATACTGGCGGAGTCATTGTTAATGTCACAATTGTAAACAAACCAAAAGTGAATCCTCTGGTTGTACAGAGAATGTGGGCTCTCACGGCCAATATCTTGATCGTTAAACACCTGATGATGCCGGCTAGGTCATCTCCAGCGAAACGTCGTATAACGTGTCATCATTTGTCTTGAGCTGATCAACATCCATCCCCCTGTTTTGCTGGTAAACCAAAGAAATTGTCATCTTTTCCCGCAAGACAACTTGCTTTTGATGGGCTCTATCGGGTGGTGGAGGGTTGTTATTTGTTATTTATGTATTGACATACGTACACGAGCTAACACAAATACAATTACTTGTGAATTCATCCTCTTCATTTCCCAGCTCAAATGAGGACGTGCTTATGCAGGAAAGCCACTCTTTTCCAGGAAGGTCTTAGATTAGGTTTTAATTTATAAGATGTATTACGGAGTGCATGACTATTGAAATAGTTTTATTTTCCTTCTCATTAATTAGTATTCAACTTTGTGATTGACAGCCCTGAGCACACATCCTATCTACGTATCTATTTGTAGTAAGACCTATGCTTTCGTTAACAGTTTGTATGTATTTTACTTTAACACGTAGGCGTTCGCGACCAATATAATCCATAGTACAGGTTTTTTGGGTTAGATCGCGTAAATATATAATTGTGTCGCTAAACCCGCCACCACCCGACACAGCCACTTGAGTAAGATTTGTCACGTAAACAGAACACGCCGGTGTGCTGTACTAGTAACTAATTGGCATGTTCTGCTTACGTGAAAACCCTTACTAAAGTGGCTGTGTCGGGTGGTGGCGGGTTTAACGACACATTTATATTTACGCGATCTAACCGAAAAATACAACTGTATTGTTGATGTATTTTACTTAAAGGCTGTGAAGTTGTTGGGAGTTGCACAGTGATTAGCGCACTGCACTATGTACCCAGCTGCCTGAGTTGAATTCCCTAACATAGATAACAACCAGTGGTGGATGAGATCCGAAACGTCGCTGGACTCCTTTCACCAACACGGTTTGGGAAGGATTCATCCAGCAGTGGATTGAGAAAGGGCTATACATTATATAGTATTGTGTGGTGATTCAAAGAACATGGTAATTAAGTCTCTGGCCTCGAAATACTGTATAGGTGTAAAATAAGTTCATAGTTAATTTATTTGGTATAGCCCTGTGAGCCATTCGGCTCTTGAATCGGGTGCAACCGCAACAAACAAAAAAACATGAACAAGAAAACATCTTAAAGTGATTATGTGACTGTGTAAACAGAAAATACAGGAACAAAAATATCAAAATATTCCTGAAATAGCACCGTACACCAACGCTGTGTGCAAAAATCCCAGTGGGATGCAAGTCAAATAACAACAACAACCACAAGAAAACTTAGATTAAGGCCATCAGTCTAACTCCGTACTACAATAAACAAAAACATGGCCAAAACAAAAAAAACGTTTTCGAAATCACCAAAATAAAAGCCATGAATGCAATGTAAATAAGGTTTTAGGCGTACTCC